TCTTTCTTTCTTTCTTTCTTTCTTTCTTTCTTTCTTTCTTTCTTTCTTTCCCAAACTGTTTTTGCCTAGTTCCTTTAAGTGGTCTTGGAGGGCTTGGTTTCTAGATTTCTTATCAGGGTAGCTCCCTTTTAAACTTGTTCCAGCTGATCTATGTTCATTTAAAATGCAGTGCTCAGAACTGGACACAGTACTCCAACTGTGGTCTGACTACTGCAGAGTACAATAGATCTATTACCATCAGTAATCAGGACACAGTGCTTCTGTTTTGTACCGCCCAAGATTGCACTGTGTTATTTAGTTGCTGCATAACACTACTTGCTTTTTTTAAGCTGGTGGTCCACTAGTATTCCTAACAATTTCTCATATGCAATGGCACCGAGCCAAGCCTTCCCAATCATATCTCTCTGCATTTCATTTTTCCTACTCAGGTACTGGACCTCACACTATTTATCACTAAACATCATCTACTGAAATTGGTGCAATGTTCAAACATAGGAAGCTCATTCTATCTCCTTAAGGCCCTCATAACTTTCTGGTCTGTGACACCCAAGGCTCCAGTCCTCCTCAGCTGTGAAAGTTTACTAGATGACTTTGAGGCAGTCACTCTCTCACCTTAACCTAATTCACAGGATGGTTGTTGAAAAAAATAAGAGGAGAAAGCATTATGTATACCAGCTTGAGTTCCTGGATGCAAGAACTCCCCAAATAAAACTAAATTAGCATTGGAAAAGAGGGCAATTTACAAATTTATCACAGGAATTTTACATCTAAATAGCATCTTATTATTATTTAAAAATCCAACATATTAAGCAAAAACAGTTCACAATTCTGAAAGACTCTTCGTTCACCTAACAAGAAAAGTCTACTTCTGAGACATGGTTTTGTCACTGTCTACAGAAGCATTGCAGAGCACTTTCCCCACCAGCTTGTTTGGGCAGCAGCACCCACCATCTACGGCAGCCTTTACATGGTGTGCCAACAAGGAATTCTGGGTATGGGTTTGCTGATGGGTGCTGTAGTCCAACACACCAGAAACCACAGGGTAGGGGAAAGCAGATAAAGCTCAAGTTAAATAACTTCATAATTTACACTAAAAAACAAAATAGATATTTCTCTTAGCTTCCCAAAGCCTGGGTCGTTGGGAGCAGCAAGAGGAGGGAGGAAGATTTTTTTTTTCTGAGTAGATGCCTGCTTCAATTTGGTATGTTGTGCATGTGAAAGTGGAAGAGAGTGCAAATGACCTAACTTTTCTCTTTCAGCTGTTTGTTCAGAAAACATCCCTGGGAGCCACTTGAACTTTCACTACCTTTGCCAGCTGAACTCTCTCCCATATCACCAAATTAGGTACCCTTGTTATGACAATTTTTTTAATGACATGTAAAACTGTCACCATGGCTAAAATTGCTTCTGGTGGAACTCCACTTACTACTACATAAAGGAGAACAATGGGTGTTTGGTTTTCCCATCTGGTGGTAGAACACCATTGGAAAGGGAAATGCAGCCACCACTGGCTGCACTTTAACCTGACCCACATTAAACTGTCAGGAAGGCACCACTTCTCTGCTGTCCTTAACCTGGCATAGTTGAGATTGGCTATGGGGCAGAGCAAATTTATGCTGTCTCCTGAACTGGAAGAAAGCACATTAAACCAGCTGCCCAAGATGGGAGTGAAATAATGGGATGGAGGGGTCAAAAGGAAGCTTTGGAGAAGTAATGGGGGGGGGGGTTGGAGAAATTACAATGAACAGGAAGATTGGTGAAAGGAGGAGTGGTAAACAGCAGAGCAAAGAGTGAAAAGGCACAGTGAGAAGAGAAGGAATGGGAGGAATGGAGGTGCATGACAGGGAACACAATGGAGAATAAAAGAAAGGGAGTGAGAATGCAGCAGAAAGCCAAGGAGTAAGAACTGGAAGCAATTCCAGACTACGATGGATTCCTTGCTAGGACACCTGGAGCCCACACTTTTCCCACAATCAACATTTATTAATCATATACGTTCTATTTCTCATGCTAACCAAAAACAACATGGTATATCACAGAATGTTAGTTGGCTACATCAATGTTAACTTACCCTGCTACAGAAGAAGGAATGCCACCATCTGGGTTTCTTACCTGAGATAAATCCTAAGGAAAAAAACACAGACTTATGATAGAATTGTTCTCCTCAGCCAATGATCCTATAAAATATATGATTATATATTATGATTATGGGTATATGATTTCATTTTAGGCTTACATTAAACAGCATTCAATAGCATGTAATGCAGTTGTTAAAATCCAGGTAGATATTATAATTATATTTTTATCCTTTTATATATAACTCAAGGTGGTGAACACTCCTAATACTCCTGCCTCCTATTTTCCCACAACACCAACCTTGTGAGGTGGGTTGGGCTGAGAGAGAGTGACTGGCCCAAAGTCACTCAGCCAGCTTTCATGCCTAAGGGAGGCCTAGAACTCACAAGTCTCCTGGTTTCCAGGCCAGCAGCTTAACCACTATACCAAACTGGCTCTCCTTATGTAGGAAACCTGAGAAGAATCATGCAAATTTTTAAAATATTTAAAAGTAACTGGGGGATAGTTAGTTTCATTTGAGTTATGTTTATGGTTTGAGGGGCTGGATTAATTTTGTTGCAGTATTAACCTCTTCTTTTTCTTCCCCCCTCTCCTTTGTCTAGCAGAACAAAACATATAAGTATTACTATTTAAACAGAAAGTCCTTAAAATTGTTTCATTATGGCTTCAACTGTACTGATAGATGCTGATAGATGAGACGGGGAACTTCCCAAGCACATTCAGAAAACATTCAGATTCATCAGGCATCTGGTGTAGACAATGTAACTGTTCAGCTAGTCCTATAGCAGTTTATATCAGTAGCTAGTTTAAAACTCACCATAAACTTATCCTAACATAACAACAGCTACAGCCCTCAACCTTCAGAGCCCCAATTCCAGCAAAAGAAAATGCTAGTTCAAGAGTGTGCTCTGCAGTATATATAAGATCAGAAATTAATTGAAACAAGTCTTTGATGTCATGCAATAGGTAATGCTAAATCAATTCTGACTGAATAGTTCTGTCTGTTCAGAAGAATGCTTTTTTCTATTTGCTATTTCCCCCAAAATCTGTATATCATTCTTTGTTTAATAACAATTCTTCCTATTTAGTATCCTTGTTTTTATCACTTTTTCATTTAAAGTTGTGGGATTTTATGTATTTTTCAGGCCTTCCACTTTCTATGACACTGTCTCCAAAAACCCAGCTCCCCCCCCCAAAAATATGAAATGTTCAAATTTTAAAACAGGTGAAAATCCCAAAGTCAAAAATCTCACTTTTGTAGCCTCAGAACTCCATCTGCAATTGTCACTAGAATTCTTGTCCAGAAAACATACAAAAACTGTAAGAGTCAGTGTAATGTACTAGAAGGAAGGAGATTTAGATTCTATGCATGGAATATCCATGAAAATTCACTGGGTGATTTTGGGCTAGTCAGGCTCTCAGCCCAATCTATCTCACATAAATTGTTGTAGGGAATAATAAGAGGAGGGAATACTTTGTATGCTGCCTTAAAGTCTTGAAAGAAAGGCAAGGTATAAATCAAATAAATAAGCAAGCTGTACAACAGACTTTTTAAAAAAGGTGAAGGTAATGTTGAGTCAAGCTCAACTTCCAATGACTATATCCATGCAGTTTTCTTGGAAGCATTACAGAAATATTTGATACTGGCTTTTTTCATAATACATTTAAGCAACATTTTAAAAACAAAAAGGAACTCCCAAAATTGCCATAGAGAATCTCCCCCAACCTGGAAATCTTGGCCAGGCTTATATGGGACATAGCTTGCTAACTTTTCCTAATTTTCCTACTCTTTGCAGACTCCCAGTGTTAAGTACAGCTGCTAGGTGCCAAATGTTTATCAGCCCTGGTTTAAAAATTCTATGTAGAGCAAAACCTAACTCACTTCCCATATGACCTGCCAAAGCAAACAAAAGCAAATTTGATCCTTTAAATCAGTTTTTACCAATAAGAGAGTTGTTTTCAGCAGATGTAATCTGTCATATATTTCATAGAAATGGGAAGGAGCCTTTTTGACTATTGAGTCCAGCTCTCTCCTCAGTACAGAAATTCAGTTTAAAGCATCCCTAGCATATGGTTGTCCAGCTTCGGCTTGAAAATGTCTGGTAACAAGGAGTCTACCATATTCTGGGTGATTGATTCCACTGTCAAATTGCTCTTACTGTTAAGAAGTTTTTCCTAACATTTACTTAAATTTGACTTCTTGAAACTTACAGCCATCACCTCCTTTCTTGCACTCTCTGACAAAAGAGGTCTTGATCTTGACCTTTCAGATATCTGAAGTGTGTTATCATTTTCCCACATCCCACCCCCAATCTTTCCTTCTTAAGGAACATTTCTAAAAAAAATTTAAATTTTTTTTCTAAATTTCTTTGATCTTTCTTCATTGGTCTTAGTTTCCAGTTCCCTAAACATCCTTCACACCCTTCTTTTCACCTGTTAGAATTTCCCTGAATCCTTAAATTGTGGTGTCCAGAGACTTGCAAAATTAAGTAGAACTATTGTTAGCAGGTACCAGCACCTGGCTGATTTTCTCTGGACTTGGAAAGTAAGCATAGTTGGACTTGGATGGAAGACCACCATGGAATATTAAGATTGTGGGTAAACTGGGAAGTAAAATAAAAATTAAAAGTGTTGGAAAACACTAAAGGCAAATCACTTCCATATGTTGTAAAGAAATGAGACAAGAATTGAATATAATTCATAGGTCACATGGTTGCCATTTGCAACTTTTGCCGGTTTCCTACAAGCAAAGTCAGTGGGGAAGCTGGCAGGAGGTCACAAATGGCAACCATGTGACATCCTCACTTAGTGGCGTGGGATTTGCTTAACGATAGCAGCTGGGAAGTGCCAGAACAGCTATTGCTAAGTGATATAGTTACATCACTTAGCAACAGAAATTCCAGTCCCAATTGCCATAATTAATTGAGGACTACCTATATCTCAGCCCCCATAGTATCCATTGATAGATATTTGTTTACATTCTCTGCATCAGATCAGTCCACTAAATTATGCTGGAAGCTCTGACACCACCTCTCTCCTCATCCTAATCCCTCTCCCTTTTGACTATCAATTAAGGCATTAGAATCACCTCCTGCAGGGAATGGTGGTGGACCTATTCCCTCCAACTCACATTGGTCCATGGTGATCTCTTGCCATGGGACTCCCGGGGTTGCTACTGGTGGGAGGAATCCCCGGGGCTTCCCTTTGCTCCCCTTGGCCGTCACGCAGGTTGGGCAGCTGGCCACATATGCCTCTGTCCTTTTGGAGCGACGGCCACCAGAACTGTCTGCGTAAGAGGTGGAGGGTCTTCATAAACCCATAATGTCCTGCATTCTTATTGTCATGGCCCCTCTCCAATACCTCCCTCTGGCACCCCTCTGGCACATAAATTTTTCCTTCACACCATCACAAGCCCCCTTGCCTCCTCAATGATTCTTTATTAAGCACCAACCAGGAGTCTCTTTCGCCGGCTTCCACGAAGGCTCGCCTCGGCTCAGGTTCTGCTTCCTCCCTCTGCTTCGCTTGGGCTTGGGTTACGGCCCCCACTGCCAGTTGGGTTGCGGGGATAATGGAATCCACCACTTCCTCCCTTTGGCTGTCGTGCTGGGGCAGGGGAGACAGACCATCTGCCAGAAAATTCCTCTTTCCCGGTATGTGCTTAAGTTCAAAGTTGAACCAGATGAAATACAACCAGCATACTTGGGCGACAGCTTCCACGGGGTCCTAAGCACTTCCAGATTCTTATGATCTGTCCAGACCTCGAATGATTGGCTTGCTCCCTCCAATAGGCGCCTCCAGGTAGACAGGGCCCACTTTATCGCAAAGGCTTCTTTCCTCCAGACCATCCACCCGTGTTCTGTCTCGTTGAATTTCTGCGAGGCGTATGCGCATGGGTGGATGGTACCCCCCGGTCCCGGTTGCAGGAGGACCGTGCCTGTCGCTACATCAGAGGCATCCACTTGGATGATGAACTGCCTGTCCGGGTCAGGGTGTTCCAAGATGGGCTCTGCAGTAAACCGCCGCTTTAAGTCCTTGGATGCCTCTTGGCATGCTCGTACCCCCCATGTCAGGGCCATGCCCAGTTTAGGGGACTTCCCGGTCCCTGGGTCTTCAATAAGTCCATTAAGGGGAGAGCGACCTGGGTGAAGTTCGGGATGAACTGCCGGTAGAAGTTGGCAAACACCAAAAAACTCTGGAGCTGCCTGTGGGTCCGTGGCGCCTCCCTCCCCAGTACATCCCTTACCTTTGCCTGGTCCATTTCTAAGCTGTGGCTGGATATCTGGTACCCCAGGTAGTCCAAGCTCTTCTAGTGGAATTTGCACTTGGAGAGCTTAGCGTATAGCTGCGCCTTCAGCGGTCTCTGGAGCACCGCTCTGACTAGTTTCATGTGCTCCCTCAGTGTCTCGTCCAGGTAGACCAGGAACCCTTGGTAGAGGAATTCGTGCAGCACCTTGTTAATCAGGTACATGAACACCCCCTTAATCTAAATGGCATCACACAATACTGGAAGCTGCCTAA